GAGCGATGTCCTCTGTCGTTGCCCTTACTCTTCTGTGCCCTCAGCATGGGGCTAAATTGGGCAAACAGCCCTGACTTCCTGACATCTGGGGCCCTACTGTCCATCCGGCTGCTTCTGCACAGGCAGGCTGGCCAGCCACCTCACGCATCTGCTTGTGTGGGCAGCAGACTCCATGCCTCGTGATTCCCAGACATACAGGACACAATGATGAAGTGAAGGAGGAGCTTTAGTGGTTTCATTTCATCTTTGGGGACTGAGACCTAATCCTTCCAGAAGCAGGAGCTCAAGAGTCAGACAAACTCAAGCTCAAACCCTGAGTGTCCCAGGCTACATGTTCTCAAGCCAGTCACCTAGGGCCCATGAGCCTCGATTTCTGTTATGTTGAAGAGGGGCTAATTGTAGAGCCCACCTCACAGGGTGGTTGTGAAGGTTTAGAGAGATGCACATGGTGCCTGGCGCATGGAAAGCACCCACCCACAGATGGTGGGGGGCATGAGCGTTATCTAGAGGAAATACTGCCCGGAGCCTAGCAGCAGGGGACCCGTGGCCTCCTGTATCCATGCAGGCTGTTGAGAAACTCCGCGTATCCAGGAAGGGTAGGAAGAACCCCATCTGGGCACAGCTGTGTGTCATGTTTAGTGACACAGCTGAGCCTGGGAGTGCAAGTGTCTGCAGGGGAGGAGCTGGGAACAGGACACGATGTAACGAGTAATGGACAGAATCCATCTAGCTGGCGAAGTGCAGTCTCCAACCACAGCTGGAGTATCGCCTGGACACCCTCTCGGGTACAGCGCCAGCTTTGACCTCTCCTCCCGTGGGACCCTGGGAACTTCCCCTACTCCTTCCACCGCCTTGAGCACCAGCCCAGCCTGGTGCCTTCTGCCCAGCTCTGTCCAGAGCCCAGTCCATAGAAGTGAGGTGGATGACCAGCCGGAACGGGCCAGTCGGGTCCCCTGGCTGGGAGCTAGCCGGGGAGGAGAGGGCCTTCAGGTCTTTGCTGGCTCTCAGATGAGAAGGACACGTGAGCTCAGAAATTCTGTGCTGGGAAAAGCAGATCCTCTCTCAACGAGAAACAGAGACCCTGCAGGCAAGAGGAAGGGGAAGGGAAGGGAGAGAGGCCGAGAGGCGGCCGCCTGGCCTCTTGAAGGCCTTCCAGGCAGTTTCTGGTTCCTGGCCCTCATGAGGCCCAGCTGCGTCCCTGCTCATGGACTTCGGGAGATACCTCGTGTCCTTATGTAACCAGCTTATTAAAGGAGCTGGACTCAATCAGGTGTAAGAAGAAACCGACTTTATTTTTCCCCAGTGTCCTTTCCAGCCTGCTCTGTGGATTAGCTGTTTTCCCAGTCAACCCAGGGAACTCAGCAGGCCCCGAAGTCTCTCTGCTGTTAACAGTCACGTCCCTGCAGACCGCGCAGGGCAGGGCTCAGAAGCCTGGGCTCCCACAGCCTGGCCCGGCAGGAGACCTGGCTGGGGGAGGCACAAGCGCAGTCCCCAGAGCCCACCTTCCCCTGGGCCACTGAGCTTTGTGGCCCTCGGGGTGGGAACAGGCGTGACAGACGAGGGGGAGGCAAGGGCCCATCTGATGTGGCCCATGAGGTTGGAGCCAGAGCTGGCGCCCTGTGCGTGTGCCCATTGCCAACTCGCATGCTCTCTCTTTTCCTCACTTTGCTATCCTTTCTCCCTCTTTGCTGCTGCTTCTTCAGAATTTCCATTCTGGGCACCTCTGACTCAGCTCCCTTTGTGGGGGCAGTGCCCTTCCTTGGCTGTTGGGCCTTCTGCACTGTCCCCAGCCCTCCATGCAGGCAGCGCCCTAGTTCCTAGGAGCCCCCCACTTTGGTCTTGCCATTGGCTTGCAGTGCAGTACCACTTCTCACTGCTTCCCGCCCCGGCCTGCAGGCTTGAGACATGAGTCAGATGGTAGTGCTGATGCTCACCCACGCCAGACTCCTGGAATGGTCCCTGGAAGCTCCTCTCACTAGACTTGAGTTGGGGGCGGGGAGTGGCTTGCACCCACCCTCCCTCTGGTGGTGGGTAGCATAGCATGGGGACGACTCATCCTCTCCCCCTTGCCCACCCCCACTCCTTGGGATACACTTTCTGAGCCTCCACAGACCACAGGTGGACAGTCAGCTGATGCTGCAGAACCAGTGTGGAGCCACCCCTTCGCAGGGATGGTCCTGCACCTTGCTCCGGAATGTGGGAACCTTTGGCAGCTATTATTTTGTCGTTAGCCTTTTGAGCCTCAGGTAAAACTGAGGCAGAAAGAGTGGCTGTTTAACATTTTGTTACACTTAAAAAATGTTCCCTTTTCTGTTTAATCCAACTCTCTAGCTTTCCCTTACTATAACCGAGAGTCTTTCCCAGACCGTATACAACGGATGAGGTGCTCCTGGGAGATCAGGGAACCCTTGAATTCCCACAAAGCACCTGTGGATTATGAACGTTGTGGATTCCCACCCCATGTTTGCAGTAGTTCAAAGGTTTCTCTTTTCAGTCTTGGCTCAGATGCGCTTGGTTCGGGGGAAAGTGCCACTCAGCATCACTCGCTGTCTTCCCGCCACGTTCCCTGCAGGAGTCCAGCAGGTGGGTGCCCTCCATCCACCAGGGTTTCACTGACTTCCTCGTGGGTCTGTCTGTGGGTGCGCTCATCATGGAGACCTTAGTAGCAGGAGGACCCCGTGACTGTCCCATTAGAAGTCCCTGGGCAGGATGGGGGAGGAGGAGGGGTGTGGATGTAGGCTTGGCCGGGCCGAGTGCTGATGGGCTGCGTGCTGGCCAGGGAGCCACTCCCTGGGCACCAGGAGCTGTGCCTTGAGTACCTCCCTTTCCTCTCCCTGTTCTCTTCTTTGATGCTGTTGGTTTGGTAAACTGCTCCCCTTCCGCCATTTTACCCCAGGGAGAGTGGATTTCCTAGTCTCTGATGCGCTTATTCCTTCTTCTCCTTCCACATGGCTGGGGTATGATTTGACCAAGACTCAGTTTTAGGTATCGAGGTGGGTGGGGCTTGGTGAGATGGTCGGATGCCATCGCTGATTCAATGGACAGGAACTTGGGTGAACTCCGGGAGATGGTGAGGGACAGGGAGGCCTGGTGTGCTGCAGTCCATGGGGTTGCAGACAGTCGGACATGACTTAGCGACTGAACAACAACAGTTTTGGGTATTGGGTTGAGTGGGGCTTGGAGAATGGTGATGTCATGCCCTGCTTTTGTTTGCTTCCCAACCAGTTTAGAAAAAAAGTGGCTACCCCTCATCCCCCCACCCCGAGCTCGCTGCTCTGGGTTTGTACAGAGACCAGTGACAGGCTAGATTGGGCCCTGTCTTCCTCTGCCTTCGGTCCTTGCGTGCCACACGCTCCAGTCCAGGTATCCGGGGTGGGCATGGGATGGGCCAAAGTTGAGGACCCTTGGTAGTGTCCAGATTCTGTGACTCCTACCACTGACTGGGGCTTTGGGAGAAGGGAGCTGAGAACTCTTTCCTTAGAGCCTGACACCCAGAACCTTCTGGAATAATCCTGCAGGTGCATTTTTACCAGCATTCTGGCCGAAAGCCCCTCTTTCTCCCCTACTGTGGAGTGAGAACAATAGTCCCTCCTTCACAGGCTGCTGTGAGGTCACATAAGTGGACACAAGTCCAGTTCCCAGCACTCAGTAAGCTTCAGTAAACATCAGTCTCTCCACACAACAGCTGTGCCAGAAAAGGCTCTCCTATGGCACCATTGCTTGGTTATCACCAACAGACATTGGTGAGTCCAGAGGTTTAAGTGCATTTCAAATTTTGATGTATACATTGCCAGACTGCTCTTTAAAAATATTGAATCAGTTTATACTTCCACCCAGAGTATACAGAGTATGTATTTCTTCTCTATTCCCTTGTCAACGTGGAGATTGACCTTTTTTCGTTTTTGCCAGTCCGCCAGGCACCATGTGATGGTCTATGCTTGATTTAATGTACCTCTCTGGTGATTACTGAGGTTGGCCTCTTTTCTTGTTTACTGGCCATTTTTGAGTCTTCTTCTGTGTTTGTGTGCTTCACCAAGTTTTCTGTAACAGTGTTTATATCTTTCTTCATAATTTGAAAGAGTTCTTGGCACATCATGAATGTCAACCCTAAATTTTTCTCTCATTTAGTATTTGCTTTTCAATCTTGGTCACGTTTTATTTTGCTTTGTTTGTCAGAGGGCAAAAACCATGGAATTTTCTTTAGTCCTATCCCTTGTCTTTTCCTTTATGGTTTTGGGGCTTCCCCTCATGCCCCGAGATGCCTTCTGTGTCCACCGAAGGTGGTTCTAGCAGCTTTTGTGGAAGTCGTATTGGAACGAGGAAGGTGAAGGCACAGGGCTCATGGTCTGGTGGAGAGCCTCAGTCAAGGGGAGAGGGAGGAAGGCCTACGTCAAGGTGGAGAAGAGGCCTTGCACGGAGGGATGGTGGACCACAGCCAGGGAGAGGGAGGAGTCCTTGCTTCTGACCCGAGCAGCTGAGTAGGCATGCCTGCTCCGCTGTGTCCCACTCTTTGCAATCCCATGGACTGTAGCCCACCAGGCTCCCCTGTCCATGGAATTCTCCAGACAAGAATACTGGAGTGGGTAGCCATTCCCTTCTCCAGGGGATCTTCCCGACCCAGGGATCGAACCCGGGTCTCCTGCCTTGCAGGCAGATTCTTTACCATCTGAGCCAGTAGAGAAGCCCAGAGCAGTTAAGTAGATGGTGTCATTTGATGAAATGGGACCAGACCTGGGGAAGGGTGTTTTAGGGTTGACTGTACTGCCTGTATCCAGCAGAGACATCCAGAACACAACTGGACTTAAGGAGGCGGGCCTCCAGAGAGTCTTCGCGGCCTGAGGTTCTGTCATGGGACTTCTGAGGGTGCAGGTGGCAACCAGGGATCGGGAGAGTGGAGTATCTCTAAACACCAGGATGAATCTCTTCCTGGTGTTACTCAAAGAGGCTGTGGTGTCCGAGGCCCCAGGAAAGCTTTCTAAAACAATAACGCACGATGTAGATACATCCAGATAGCACAGATGGCTTTTATTGCAGATGTGTTATTACAAGGATAATCTGAGAATATATTAAAAAAAAAACCCTCCCTTTTATATACACAAAACGTGCTACATGGTACACTTGTGAGACTGCTGAGGTAATAGGCACACAGCCGGATGCAAACAGTACCAAACGTTCCACCGTCTCACCTGCCCTCCCTGACCCATGCGCCCTCCAGGAGGGTCTCACCTTCTTGTTCGTCCCTCGCTCCCTGCTTGGCAAGAGTCCAAGAAGTACTGAGCCTGATGCTTGAGGGCCAGCAACACGCTGACCGAGGGCTCCGTGGCCCCTGGTTATTCAGTAACTCACAGCAAGTGGCCAGTTCTCGTTTTTGAGGCGCCTTGTCTCTAGGGGAGTGTAGTCTGGAGACGAGATGTGGATGCCAGTCGGCCTGAGAGCATGACACCTTTGGTCTGTAGCCATTTGGGGCCCCCAACAGTTGGATGATGCTTTCTCTTCAGTTGAATATCTTCTGGCAAGGTAGGCTATTACTTCTGCAGAGGTTAAAATGACAGGTAGGCTAACGTGTGACTGGAAAGTACGAGACTGAAATTAACCATTGTCCGTGTAGCCGGGAGCGAGATTTGGGGTCTGACTTTCCCTTTCCTGACCACATGGAGTCCAGACTGTTTCCTACTGAGAAGCTAGGGAATCTTGCCCGGGAAGAAAGCACAGGAGGACAGAAAAGGTGAGGAGTAAGTCGGCGAGGAGAAAAGAACAGGAAAGGTGCCTGGAACTCGAGGGGCTGGGACTGGAGTGCAGAAGGCACTTTGTGACTGGTGTGGAGTGAATGTGCAGGTGGGTGGGTGGCTGGCTGGGTGGGGAGGTGGTGAATTGTCCTGAGAACAAGGAGAAGGCTAGAAATAGAGAGGGGAGGGTATTTTGAAACTGGGTTAGGTGCCAAAGAGAATCCTAAGCGAGGAAGTTGGGAAGCCCAGTGTGAGAGGATAGCACTGTGGACGGTCCTAGAAGAAGCCAGGCACGTGCACACCAAGGACTGCTGTTTGAACTGGAGCCACACAGTCTGTGATGTGCCCTCAGACTCAAGTAACACAACACGAATGAAGTGCTCTTCTCCTAAGAGCAGAGCTGTCGCGAATAGCCCTCAACATCTGAGAGTTGAATATACCTGTGTTTCGGTATATATGGCAAACCTATATATATGTATCTAGATATACGGCACAGGTATATATCTAAACGCATATATACATGGCATACACACAGGTGCACGAGGTCGGCTCACACACGTGTATATTACGAAGGTACTTGGCAGGTGTGTTTTTATTGTAAGGACTTAATTTACTTAAGGAAAGACTTATGTGCAGTCCTGTCCTGTCTGGAAACACGGAGGGCTGTCCGAGGTGGAGAGGAGTAGTAGGGACAGAGATCGGTCGCATTTATCTGCCGCGGTGACTCAGGGAGTCAGAGTCCAGCGTCCCGGTCCTCACGGCCCTGAGGGGGGCCAGCCTAGTGGAAGGTGTTGGGGTTGGGCCGGATCATCATCACCACCTTCTTGAGTGAGTAGGAGCCTCCGCGGAACTCAGCCCAGTAGACCCCGTCCTGGTAGCGGCTCCGGTAGTGGCCCCCGCGGTACCAGACCCCATTGAGGTTGGAGTGGGCACAGGCGTTATACCACCAGCCGCCCTTCTGGTAGTGGGCACAGTTGCCTGCGGGAGAGAAAGAAGCAAGAAGTTCAGGGAAGAGGTTTGACTTGTGTCTGCTGTTTGCTCTCGGGGGGGCTTCCGAGGGACACCCCCCAACTGGGGGCCATTGGGAACAAGGATGCCAGAGAGGGCACGGGGCCTCAGACCTGCTCAGACCTTCCTTCTGACTTGGGCTCTGTGATCTTGGGTGAACGACCTCGCCTTGGTGAGCCCCCAGACACTCCTTGTAAAACAAGGATGAGGCGATGCCCCTGCACAAGGTAGGTAGCACCCACCTGGGAGCTGAAGGAGGCCTACTAGCGCAGGGCTAGCTGTGGAGCAAGCACCAGGGAGGGCTCCACCCCGGGTTTGTGCAGAAAATGGAAATGACCCAAGGTGGACGGATTGAGAGCCAAAGGGTTTTTCTTAGGAATTTCTTTTTCATTGAAACTATTAGATCAAGAGTCTTTCAAGAGTGACAGAGGAAGTGTTTAAGATGAAATGTTCCTTTATTCCTCCCTACCCTGTCATCCAGCCAGATTTTTTTTTTTTTTTTTCACAAAAGCAAGATACTTTCATAAAGTTTCTGGCACCCTCATATCATGCTGGATTGTACTGCCAAGGACAAGCAGTTCGGAACACCAGTGAAAGTGTGGGCAAGGCACAAGCGGGCATGCAGGGGCATTGCCCTTCCCAGGAATGGGGATGACACTGTCGGGCCCAGGGGGCACCCCACTCAGGGCACAGGCTGCCTTATCAGGTTTGAGGGTTTGGCGACCCAGCGGGGCTGGCGGCTACGCTCCAGAAGCGGCTGTGGGGTGAGGTGAGGAGGGAGCAGGCCAGCTGAGGCAGAACACCGAGAGGAGTCCCAGCGCCAGGTGCCCAGAGCCCCGGCAGCCCAGGTCTTCCCAGAGCTCTCCTCTGGCTCCTTCAGGCTACAGCCCAAGGTCACGAGCCCCGCGTGGCTGTGTCAGATTCGGAGGGCAGGACCCTGGGCATGCCACAGCCAAGCCTTCCCTCAGCCAGGGGATGCCCCTCCTAAGCTTGCCCCACACACCTCCAGGGGCAGGAAGCTCACTGCCTCACGTCCAGTGACCCTGGCCAGATGGGCCTGACGGTTGGGGCCGCAGAGCAGCCTTCTGCTGCTCCCCATAATGGCTGTGAGCCAGCCTTCTGTCCCCGGTGTCCGACCAGCTCAGAGGGGCATCTTCCTGAAGACTGGGCAGCCCCGGCCTCAGCAAACACGCCACCTCCTCGGGGCCCCTGTGGCAGGGTCAGCTCTGCACCAGGAGTAGGTGGAGGTGTGTGGAGTGTCCCTGTCTGCTGCCTGGGGACCTGGGGTGGGGACCCTCCTCCGGGGGCAGGCAGCTGGGCTTTTCTGAAGAGCAGAGAGTTCTTGGGGCTCAGTCGCTCAGTTGTGTCCGACTCTTTGCAACCCCCTGGATTGTAGCCCGTCAGGCTCCTCTGTCTGTGGGATTTTCCCAGGCAGGAATCCTGGAGTGGGTTGCCATTACCTCCTCCAGGGGATCATCCCGACCCAGGGATCAAACCCACATCACGTCTCTTGAGCCTCCTGCATTGGCAGGCAGATTCTTTACCACTAGCATCCTCAAGGCAGGGGGTAGCTTTTGGCCTGGGACTAAAGGGCCAGGTTTGCCCACAAGAACAGACAGCCTCGGCCTGAAGGGGGGTTCAGCCCCTCACAGAGGAGCTATGAATTCTGCCACCTGACAAGGGTGCAGGGCCCTTCGTCCCCAGGAGCTGAGGTGCACACGGGGGGATTGATGTCTAGACTCGGGGCCAGGCTGTGTGCACTTCTCAAAGTTTTCTGTTTTCTCCCTTGCTTTTTATTTACTAAAGATCTGGACCCGAGGCCTGCAGTCTTGGGCAGGTGGATTCGTCCCTCCTGCCCGATTTCCTCTCAGTAGCTTCCCGCAGCGCTGCACTGAAAACGCCTGAGAGACAGTCCCTACTCAGAGCCCGAGTCTCCCAAGGCCCAGGCAGAGAACTGCAGGCACATTCTCACCTTCTCACCCCCTTCTCACTCCCTGCTCGGTAGGTGTGTCCTCATTCCCAGATGTGGAAACAGGCCCAGAGGGACTGGGAGGACTTGGGCGTGTAGGAGGCAGGGCAGCCTTGTTCCGCAGGCTGTGTGGCCCTGACTCCTGGTGCTCAGGCAGGGAGTGAGGCGGTGCACAGCCCAGCCCAGCACAATGTCGAGCTTGGCCCAGAGTGGCCCTCCAGCCTGTCACTCGGGGACCTCTGTACCTTCCCCTTTCTGTAAATGCCACGCTGACCCAGCCTTGCAAAGGGGATCTGTGGACGTTCAGGGGATGGGAACAGAGTTGGGCAGCTGGGCCCTGGATGGTCCTGTCCTCAGGCTCGCAAGTCAGAGGCTGGGCTTTGGCTGACCCCGTTCCCTGGCCCTTCACCTGCTCCTACCTGTGTAGACGTCGTGGTCTCTGTCCAGGGTGGTGAACTGCTTGCCGTTGTGCCAGGTGAAGGAGTCGCCAGCGTTGCCATGGTAGCGCCCCAGCCGCAGCTTGTAATACTCGCTCTCAGGCTCCAGGCGGAAGCTGGCGTACTCTGCAAAGACCTTGCGGCCAGACCAGTCCTCCATGGTCACCAGCAGCTTGTAGTTGCCTTGGTTCGTCAGCCAGTAAATGTTCTCCAGGCCCAGCCAGTACTCGCCGTCAATGTTCCCAAACCCTTGCTGGGGAAAATGCAGGAGAGCATTAGTGAGGAATATGCAGTGTGCTCAGCCAGCTGGGCCCAGCTGTCAGCTGCTCAGCGCCAGACGCGGGGTCTTGGAAGCAGGCAGAGCAGAAGGCAGGCCTGCCTATAATCCCTTGCTTTCCCCACCTGGCTGTCACTTGATGAAGTCACTTTTCATGTTCTCAGCCTCAGTCAGGCATCACTCGAGACTATTGATAGAGTGCCTCTTTCGTGCTAAGCATTGTGTGAACATGGGTTCCTCTACGTTATCCTTCCTGCAGGGTTGCTATAGGAACACACGTAACCTGGTAAATTGGGAGCCTAGCACACAGTAGGCTTGCAACATGAGTTCTTGGGCAATTCCCTTACCTTCTCTGAGTTTCTGTTCCTTTCTCTGGGGAGGGGCTGTGTGTAAGAGTCTCTTGTAAACTAAGGCACGGATGTGAGCTCTGACAAAGGCATGATCCCTCCTAAGTCTAGAATCCACTGGATACATTACCATTTCTCCATATAGTTTTGAGAGTCATCAGCCAAGTGGTGGCCACTTGGAAATTCGTTAATGATAATAATAGCCAGTGTTCAGTAGGACTTGATGCTGGCACTCTTATCAGAGCTTTTCATAGGTTATTTTCTTAATCCTCACACCAGCTCTGTGAGCGGGGTACTCTCAGTGTCCTCCCTAGAGTGGGTGGTCTGAGGCCCAGAGAGGCCCAGGGTCGCAGAGCTTGTGAGCCAGGATTTCAGCCAAGAACCCAGATGTGACCCCTGTGCCGACTGCTCTGAGGAAGGGAACGTGGAGAGGAGATGGAAGGAGTGGGGGAAGTGAGTCTTCAGGAGCCTCTCAGCTAGGAGGCAGAGGAGAAAGCAAAGGGCACAGGCTGGTCGGGAGGCGGGTTGGAGGACAAGCAGGGCAGGAATGGGGCCTGCGGAGCCTCGTGTGGGTGTCGTGATCCTGGTGCTGGTCGGCTGTGCCTAGGCTGTGTTCACTGCTCTGCCTGCTCCTGTCTGTGCAGACTTTTCATCCCTAAACCGGGTCCGGACCAGCCTCTCCCCAAGGGGGTGACCTGAGAGTAAAGGAGGTGGGGAACAGAAGCACCTGCATGTGTCGGGTGTCCTCCGTACGGCCTCTTTCAGAGGAGGAAGCCGGGAGTGGGGCAGAGCCCTCAGCCTTTCCTCCTACAAGGAGGAGGAGCGTCCAGCTCCCGGGGAATTGGGAGCCCCGAGGCTGAACCCTGGGGTTAGGACCCAGTATCTCCACAGTTCCCTACAGCGGGCCGTGTGGGAGATCCTCCCAGGGCCCTGGAGCCTCAGGCCCTGCCCTTTCTGGGCTTTGGGGGCAGGTCTTCCCCTGGGAGCCCCAACCGGGACCACGGTGCTCCCCACATCAGGACTGGCTCTAAGTTCCCTCCCTGTCCGTGGGGCTTTCGTGGTCTGGACCCCTCACTCTGTATCCTGCCGTGGTTGTCGGCGGGGCTGGGAAGGAGCAGCTGGTCCTCCCCACCCTGGTGGCCCCGTCAGGGTCCTCCTCCCTTGGGCCACACAGGCCTCACGGGCAGCACCTGCCTCCCTCCGAGGGCCCTGGCACTCTGGGTGGCGGGGGGTGGGGGTCCTCACCTTGTACGTCTCCCAGTTCCGGAAGAAGTTGACCGAGCCGTCCAGGCGCCTCTGGATGACCGTCCAGCCCCCAGGGTCGTGTCTCTGGTCGCACCACACCTGCATGAGGCGGTTGGTATTCTCTGGCTTCACCAGATAGATGGAGCTGGTGTCATGGCCGTCCTCCAGGGCCTGCAGGCAGTCTCTCCATGGGCCTGGGGGCACAGGTGTGCACGCGTCACAGACCGCCCTGTCGCCCGGCCCGAGTCGCGTCCTGCCCTTCCCCCCGCCGCCGGCTGCACCCGCAGCAGCTCAGCTTCGGGCTGGGCTCCGGCTGGAAGCCACAGGCCTGCAGGGCACCGCTTTGGGTTTGTGAGTTTGAGAAGCAACGTGATGTAAAGACAAGAACCCAGGACTCGGGGGCCCGGACACCTGGGTTCTGGGCACACTTTCACCCCGACTCCTGCACGGTGTGGTGGGCCAAGCTTCCTTACTTGCCAAGCCCTCTGTTTCCCCCTTCTGTAGAGGCAGCTCATGTTTACCTCATGGAGCGGTACGGATTGCTGGGATATTTGTGTGCAAGTCCGGGAGTGATTTTTCTAAGTTGTTTTGTCGGCAGAAGGCTGTGTGAGCCTGCCGAGGGGCAGCAGCGTCCGTCAGCACCTGTGGGGCTCCGCCTGGCCAGTGAGCCCGGCTGGCTGCCCTTCCCAGCCTGGCTGACTCCGCGCCAGCCTTCCCAGGGACGGTGCTCGGGGACGGTCGCAGCAGGTTTTAGTAAGTGAACTTGCATGGGGTCACGGGGGCCCCAGCGGTGCCCAGAACCTGTAGCCAGAAATTCTGGGGCATTTCTGGGATTCAGACACTGGCCTCCGGATACCTTTTGGGGGGCCCCAGTGTCTGTCCATTGCTCGGATGTGTCCGGCTCTGCGACCATGGGCTGTGGCCCCTCAGGGTGTTCCCTTCACAAGCCCCCGGCAAGGGCACAGGGGTGGGTGGCCATTGCTTCTCCAGGGGGTCCTCCCGACCCGGGGGCTGAGCCCAGGTCTTCTGCGTTGAAGACGGTTCTTTACCGTCTGAGCCACCAGGAGAGCACTGGAAGGACTGATGCTGAAGCTCAGATGCTTTGGCCACCTGATGAGAAGAGCCGACTCATTGGGAAAGACCCTGATTCTGAGAAAGATTGGGCTTCCCTGATAGCTCAGTTGGTAAAGAACCTGCCTGCAATGTAGGAGACCCGAATTCGATTCCTGGGTCGGGAAGATCCCCTGAAGAAGGGATAGGCTACCCACTCCAGTATTCTGGCTTGGAGAAGTCCAAGAACTGTATAGTCCATGGGGTTGCAAAGAGTCAGACACTGCTGAGCGACTTTCACTTTCACTTTCTTTCTGGGGAAGATTGAGGGTAGGAGGCGAAGGGGGTGGCAGACACTACTGATTGACTTTCATGTTCACTTTTTTTCTGGGAAAGATTGAGAGCAGGAGGAGAAGGGGGTGGCAGACACTACTTATTGACTTTCACGTTCACTTTTTTTCTGGGAAAGATTGAGGGCAGGAGGAGAAGGGGGTGGCAGAGGATGAAATGGCTGGATAGCATCACCACCTCAATGGGTCAAACTCTGGGAGACAGTAAAGGACAGGAGAAGCCTGCCGTGCTGCAGTCCCTGGGGTCATTGAGTCTGACACGACTTAGTGACTGAACAACAACAAAAGCATTTCTGTTTAGCTCTATCAGTATATTCTAGAGCAAGCTGACCAAGGACCAAGGCACTCAGAACTCACGTTTCAAGGTCTGTGAGCTTAAAGGATGGTGTCCAGCCCATCCCAATACATGGCTCTTCTGAAACTGAGACCAGAAGGGTTCTGTGACCTGTGACTTCCCTGATCTTGGGCAGCCGGGTGGGGGTCGCTGTGAGAGGTCTTTCACCCCTCCCCCACTTCCCCTGGCAGTGCTTTCCCATGTTTGAACGTTAGTCAGGTCCTCAAGTGGGCACAAACCCGAGTCACTAGGAGCCAAGTAAACTGGATTCATCCTAATTGATCTGAGGAAACTCCAGATATTTTTCACGACCTAGCCACTAAACTGTGTATTTTTAAATAGTATCACCACACACAGCTTTAGCTTCTCTTCAGAGCAGTCCTAAACTGAAGTATGGTTCAGACCAAAAGTCCTCAGAAAACTCCATCTTATTCCATTTGTGCGAATATTTGTTCAACAGCTGTTGATACTGCGTCCTGGCCCCGGCAGGTCCTGTGCTGGGTGGTGGAAGCCTTCTCTCAACCTGCATTCCCGTGGGTCCAGTCCTTTCTGCACGTGGGGGAGAGGAGTGGCCAGGCACAGGGGGCAGGTGTGTGTAGCTTTTCCCGTGTCGATCAGACTTCTCACGCTCCCTCCTGGCAGTGATGGGGCTGGATTAGTCCTCTGTGATGGTTAAGTAGGATGAGGTTGGGTGTGGTCTCTGTCGGACACCTCAGGTGGGCCTTTCCTGAGGCCTCATGGCGGTGCGTGAGTGTCCCCACCTGGAACTGACGGTAGGGCACGGGCTGCCTTTTTCACCCTTTGTGCCCGGGGCACAAAGGCAGCACCGAGAAGAAAGGTGAGTGTGAGTGCTCACCGCTGACCGCTGACCCCCTCCCTGCATCCTCCAGGGAGCGGCTGCTCACCCATTTACCCGCCGGCCAGCCCTCTTGGCCCCAAGCACCCGCCCTGTAGCAGGTACAACACAAACAGCCACCTCCTTCTTTGCCTTGTGCCTCTTCCATCCCAAGAAGGGGAGCCCACACCTCCAGAAAGAACACTAATGACGGAGAAAAAAAACATGGGTTGTGTTCGGCCCACGGCCCTAGGGACCAAGGCAGAGAATGGGAGTCTGTCCCCAGCAGCTGGAGCGGAGCGCGGAGCGGGGGTGGGAGGCCTCCCAGCTCAACACCAAGTCAGATGCTCAAGAGAGGCTGCTGGACACGAAAGCGGGTGACAGAAGGTCCAGCAGCCTGCAAAACAGTGCCCATGGAAGACGAGCAGCCGGGCCTCTTCCTCTCCCTGCAGAGCTGCAGCAGGTTCCATGGATCCTCAGGCTGAAAGGCCAGCTTGGAAGGCGGGGGTGCCACGTGGGGAGAGTCTTTGAGGCCCAGGGGGTGGGGGCAGTCAGCCTCACCTGCGCTCCCTGTCTGAGTTCCAGGAGCGGTTCCAGCTTTGCCTTTGACATTTCTACAAAGGGCCATTTTTTTTTTTTTTTTAAGACGCAAGTTTTTTTTTTTTTTTTTGTAGTTCTAATCAATGGTTTCCATTTTGAACATGCAAAGAATTCACTTGACAAGTCCAGGGATAAAATATTACAGGAGAAACCCTTTGATATCAATTGTAAGATGCAAGTATTTTTAAAGGTTTTGGGGCCACCAGTCCTTTTAAACGTTTAGGGGATGCTCCAGATCCTCCACCCAGAAAGACACACAAATTTGCTGATAATCAGAAGGTAAATGAACTTCCAAACCCCAGATTGTGAAACCTTGGTGCTCAGAGAGGCTTGACTGGAGTGGAAGTAATAATAGAATATTTCTACTAGCCACCACTGCTGGGCATTTACTCCATGCCCCATCCATGCATTCATACCTGAGATCTTCCTGACACTCCTGCCAGGTAGGCTCCCCCCTCCACAGATGAGGACAGTAGAGAGTGGGCACCTTGGGTGTCACTCCCAAGATCACGTGGTCGGCAGGGGGCAGGTGCGGTACCTGCACCTGGGTGGTGTCCAGAGCCCGCATCCGGAAGTCCTCTTCCTGCTCCTTGAGCAGACTGAACTGCAGGGCAGGGGCCTGGCTGACTTCTCTCTGTGTCCCTACAGCTCATCTTAATCATTGCCTCGCAGCCAGGCTAAGAAAAATAAGAACTTACAGTTCTTCTTGGTCAAAGTGTTGTGCCTTTTAAAAATCTTTCTTGATTTTTCTTCTCTGCTTACCTTTTAGTGTCCTTTGCCTGTTTTAGAACTATTTTAACTGTTTCAGTGTTTCTTGTGACTTATCAGCTTCCCTTTTCTTTTTTAAAATGGTTTTTGTTGATTGACTCTTATCATTAGATTTGTGTTTATTTATGTATTTATGGCCTCACTGGGTCTTCCTTGCTGTCCTCAGGCTTTTCTCTGGTTGTGGCAAGCAGGCGCTGCTCTCTAGTTGCGGTGCTCCGGTTTCTCATTGCGGTGGCTTCTCTTGACACGGAGCACAGGCTCTGGGGTGCGAGGGCTTAATTGTTGTGGTGCACAGGCTTAGTTGCTCCATGGCATGTGGAATCTTCCTGACAAGGGGCCGAACCTGTGTCCCCTGCATTGGCAGGTGGATTCTTAACCACTGGACCACCTCCTAAAGGCAAATCTAGCGATTCTTTCTTTTAAGTCTTGTAGGTGTGGCATGCTTTCTAAAGTCATGGGGTAACTGTGAAATAGTGTAGACATGTTTAGTGTTTTCTGCTGTTACTAAAATAGATCACCATGTGTCCCCTGCGTGCTGCACTTCACATGACACCAAGGACCTCCCATCCAGAGTGTGACCTCCCATTCCAGACGGTGATTCCTCAGACACCCCTGCCGAGCTCTAGAAGAGCTCCTGCATTCAAACACATTCCCTTTTCTTCTTAAAGGTGCCGGGGCAAGGGTCAGAAAATTAAATGGACGAAAGTTAGTCAGGAAAATACTTGGCATTGAAATGTTGGCAGCAATAAAATGATAAAGTAGCAGAAAACAGCAGCAGGGAGATTGTCATGCAGCTGCATTAAAATGAGAGTCAAAACACCCGCCTCTGATGAGAAACCTGTAACTGGTACGTGTACGTGGTCTCTGGAGGAGGACATGGCTCCCACTCCAATGTTCTTGCCGGGAAAACTGCAGGGACAGAGGAGCCTGGTGGGCTACAGTCCATGGGGTTGCACAGAGTCGGATACGACTGAGTGACTGAGCACATACATGACATCGTGGTGAAGGACTCAGCGAGGTGTCGGACTGGGGCTCAGAAATCTGTGTGCCTGGGACGGGACCCCAAACTTGGAGTCAGCAGCCCTCGGCTCAAAGCTCGGTGGCCGCATCTCCTCACTGGGTGACTCTGAGCAGGTCCTCACTGAGCCTCTGCCTCCTCTTCTGTAATCAGAGGGAAAGGACCTTACTTTCTGAGGGTCTCTGGAAGACAGCACCCAGCACAAGGCTGACCAGGGCAGGTGCCAGAGAGGGTTCGTG